TAAGATTAAAACATTTCAAATTCATTTATTATTTTCAGACCAAATAGAGTCTCCAAAAGCCGCCAGTGACACCAGAAAATTCGCTAGATTTGTCGCTACTCTCTTTTTTTGAAAAAGAGTCGCTGGAGGGGTCTGAAAAGTCGCTAAATAAAGAGACAAAGTCGCTGAGTTGGCAACACTGTATCCAACCTTCTGCCTTGCTTCTTTAGCACTCCATATTTCACATAGCTATCCTCAGTCAGCTGTATCCTCTCCCTGACCTGGTTCTGTTTCCCCAGCATTTAAGAGCTAATTTTCATCAATCATATCCTCCCTCATGTTTTGGTTGAAGGTTTTAGTGGTATTCATAAAACATCATGACTCAAGTTTAAAGTCTACTCTGAGTACTGTCTATCGTTGTGGTTGCTACGCAAATGTTTACCCCCCGCTAAGAGGACGGCGATCTTTACTAGGCCCGCACCTGGATGTGTGATATAAACTCGATGCTATCTATACATGTTTGAGGCATTGACATGCTGGGATGTAGCATTCATTTCAATGAAATACCCCCACTTCAAAGCTATAAGATAGCAGTAGTTTTCACACAATATCCCTTAAATACAGTTTCAAACCTCACACCGAGCCATAGCTCTGTTGAGCTGTTTATTCAACCAGCTCTCAACAATAATGTTTTTATGGGACTCCCTACACATAAGATTCTATTTTTAAAATGACAATCATCTTTCCAAATATGAATACCTTATACTTAAATTTAGAAAGTATTTAAAGTAACTATATATCCTTAATTGTGTTCAGTTTGTTATGATTCATTTCAGCTTTCTGAGCTATGTATATAGCTTCATATTAGCCTTCAAATAACATGTTGAAGTCTAGGAAAATAATTTAAGGATGTTTTCTGTCTTTTAGCTGTAGGCTTGGACCCACGACTTTAGTGTGTTTGATGAGCCTCGATGGCGTCATTTGATGCTATCTCTGGGCTCAAAGTATACTTTAAGTGAGCGGTACTGTGTGTTACTGAGTGAGAAAAGAGGTGAGCAACAGACATGCCTTTATTTTGAAATGCTCATCTGTAGAATTAAAATCTTATTAGCAAAATACACTAAATGTATATATATATATATATATATGCTGCTGCAGACGGGCTAGGATAAGACCTTCAGAAATCCTTTTTTAAATGACGCATTAAATCAGTACATGGCCCATATAGTTATGTATAAAAGTACAATGTTCTCACCTCAAATGATCTTAAAACATACTTTTATTGAACAACAGCAAAAAAAAGACTTAGACAGATTTATTTTGTCATTTTATATACACAAGTGTAAACAAAAAGAAATTTTGTTTAGAACAGCTCTCTAGACAATTTCATTTTTAAGGTGCAGCCTTGATAAGGAAAGCAGCAGTTGTTGTTGAGCTGCTACTACTGCCTCCAGCTCCTGAAGCACTCGCTTCTACTGGCTCAGATGAGAATGAGCCAGTAGAATGATGAACTGAGAAACGGCCATGGTGTTTCAGTTATTTTAGAATAGCGGCTTATAAACATTAGTAACACACAAGGTTCCTGGCAGGGGGGAGTGATTTTATCTCGATGTTTTTGTATTAGAAGAAATGGGGTTGTGTATTGAAAGGCATTTTTTAAAACTCCTTTCGTTCTTGGGGTCAATTTGACCCCATTTAATGTTTATCATTTAAAAAATAGTTAAGATTTTTTTTTGCTTCATCTTTCATGACTTTTCCTAATTCGATGGGGAGAACTGATAAAGCATAACTTTTTTTTATTTATATTTATTCTATGTGCTGAACACATACTGCATGTCATTTTTAGGGGAAGAGCAATATTTAAGCATCCCTATCTCTGAAGACATTCCATATTTTGTCTCGTGTCATACGCTTTGATGACAAAGAAACTAAACAAAAATAAAAAAAACTCTGTATCTCTGCATCTGCCGAGGCCCAAGCCGCCCAAGATAGAAGAGGAGGGGTGAGTGAGATCTTACAGAAACTAGCAACTACAAAATATGTAATAATATATTTAAACTAGAGGGCAGGTCAACTCACTGATTTCAAAGGGTTATTTATATATATTTCTTTAAGTACAGTATGGTCATTCAATATTTCCCCACATTTCTTGGCTGGTCCCCTACTATTCCTTTTTAAACAAACAATCTTTGTACTGAAATTGTCATGTTGGGATTTAATCTTCTAACCCACATGCAGAATCAACTCAGTTAAAATTTGGAAAAAGGGATTTATTGACAAAACAAAGAGAAACAGACATTTCTTGTTCCTTCAGGAGTCTGAGGAGGTTACGTGAACGGTGGCGTTTCAGAATACTCTGAGCGAGCCGTGGAGGAAATATTTTCTGGGTCCCGTGTGGGGAGGCTGGTGGTTTCCCTCTGATAGTGCAAGATGGTTGGAAATACAGAGATCTGATGGAGCCAGGTGGGAAATGATTGCTGGTGGAGTGGGCAGGCAGTTAATTTGCTGGTAAATCCACTGGAAGGTGAGTCGGTGAACTGAATCCTCTGAAACCAAGCGCCAGAAAAACTGGTAAATGAAAATCATCCAGCGCTGAGTGAAGTCTCTGCTGCACTTTTAATCCCAGCACTCTGATGAAGCTGACAAGCTCCACCTGTGTAGACAACACAGGTACTCCACCAAGATCCTCTCAGGAGAAAAGGCATCACTCGCACTCACAAACACACACACACACACACACACACAGGAACCCTGACAGATACTGGCTCTGTTCTAATTCATGGGCTGTGTCCTTAGAAGGCTAGATTCGAAGGCCGATTATGTCATAGCGTGGAGCCGAGGTCTGGTCGGATTCCAAGACTCCTCGTTATGCGGCCTTAAAATGCGTCCTTCCGTTTGCCCGATTTGAAGGATGGGTCCGATACATCCTCGCTATCCTTGGATATCCCATGATGCATTGCGAGCCCAAGCAAGCCTGCTGCTCAATGATCAGAGGAAATGGTACTTAGTCCCAAACAGTGGCGAATATTGGAAGTTCAGTTTAATATAATCCAAGTATGAGAATAGTTCCGTCTGAAATGTATGAAAATTGCTAATTTAATGGTTATAGAGACAGATATGTGGCGAATAATGCTTGATTTATCTAAAGGTTTTATCTGTTACTGTGTATATGGGTTTGGTGTTACCTGGATATAACCTAACCAAATATCTTTAGAACAGCTCCAAATGACACAAAACTGATATGGGTGAGTATAACATGATGTAATAACGTAAAATCAAGCCCCCAATGTAAAAACAAAAAGGTGTTCCCCTTTAAGGACTGATTCTAATATATCTGCAGTGTGGGAATTAAACATCTGATAGGATTCTTATTTTTTTATTGCTGTTTTTCATAATTTGTATAACTAAGTATTTTTGTTGTTGAATATTAGAGATTTAGCAGATATATTTTTCATACATATGTTGTTTAGATTTACTTATGTCTTTCTACCCCTTTGATAGAACAGAAAAGAAAATCTCTTTAATGTCCCACAATGGGCAAATTTACTGCAGCAGAAAGATTAATGAAAATGGTCACACAAATGTGGACCTTAGAAAAATGTATAAGAATAACATAATAAGGAAGAGTTAAAATATGACCAATAATGTTTTATTGCTCACTGACTGGCAGTTAAACAGGTTCTTTAGTTTTTACATAAAAACATGAGAAATGTGGAAAAATAGTTGCAGTTTTAATAAAAAATAAAAAACAATGTTCTAATTCTAATATTTACAATTATACTCTTCAATTTCAGGCTTCTTTTGGAAACCTTAAAAAAAACAGTTAGTTAAATTTGAAAACAACTTGAAAACCAAAACACAGTTTGGCCAATAAAAAGTGTTATACATAAGTTTTATTCTTCTCAAAAACTTCCATATAGGTTAGTGTAACAGTTTGTCTACAAAAAATAAATAAAAGTCATACCTCCTAAAACCTAAAAAGCTTATTTATACTTGATAGAATAGTTGTGAGTTTAGTCTATCAAACAGGCTGCATGTAGGGATTTTAAAGGTCCAGAAGGTTTGTTTGTTTTTGTGAGACAGAGATTGAAAAAGCAAACTGATTATTTGAAATTTGTCACCATATTCTCTGATAATTATTTGCTAAAGTAACATTTTATTCAGGGGAGAGAGAACTTATTTAAATAAAATTAGGAGCTTACTAAAAAGTTTTCCAATAGTAAAGGGTTGAGGGGAAATACTTTTATGTCTTTAGAATCAATACCATATGTTAGCATAAGGTCAAAGGCATGAAGAAGACAATGTGTGGGTCTTTGCACAATTTTAACAAGGTAAGTTAAATCTAAGATAACTAAAGACTTAGATAGGGAAATACTTATTATAACGTATTACTTCTAAGTAAAAAAACTCAAACTTTTCCACAAATTTTGGAAGCACTACTCATGTTGGTATTTCAGAATAAAGTTTAATGTTTTTGGATCACATAATTATTTTCTTTTATTCTTCTTAGGAACAAATAAGCTTTTAAACAAAACACACAAAGCTTGATATGATTGTTGTTTGGTAAAATTAAAAGCAAGTTAAATGCTTTATGAAACCTATCCCACCAAGTTTAATATAAAAACATCACATGAAGACCAAATATTTTTTCGTACTTAAATGAGGAGACCAGGCATTGCATCACAGTTTGTTGTGTAATGTTTATAATTGGATATACAGGACTTCTCTAACTTATCCCAACCTGTTTATTATATCAACATCTAAAACAGATTATAAATCCCTATTATCTTTTTTTTCCCTCTAAAATAAATATATTTACCTTAGAAAAAGGAGCCAAAAAGGAAATAATTTACTAACTTTGTCAGAAATAAGTTTATATGAACTGGTAAAGACGTTTAAAAAAGTTTATTGATACACTCAATATCATACCACATGATTCATTGGTCCTTAAAAACAAAACAAAGCAAAAAACCCAGATACCATAAACTATATAACAATCAATACATATATTAAGACCTGTATAAGAATATTTTAAAACAACAATAATAAAAGAAATGCATATAAATATATAATTTAAAAAGCAACTACTAAATACAGTAATTCTTTAACTAAAGGCTTGAGACATTAACCTATGATGTTGCAGAAGAGACTTCCAGAGAAGTGGACCATTATGATATGAACTACTGCAGCTTAGAATAGAATCACATGGATTTTGTTTCACCAACTGAAAATGGAGGGACTTTCCTCATGTTTTTCTCTTTGGTTCCTTTTTAAAAACCTTCCCGTCCATCTCAGTCCAGCGGAGCTTGAAGTCTGTTAAACCGTTAGCCTCCATTTTAGCGTGCAGCTAAAAGCAGAAAAAACAAAACCCATTTTATGTTGTAATATTATAACACACAGATTGTTCTGTTGATTGGCTTTCATTATTGCATATATGATACAGGGCAACGTCCTTGGTTTAATTCTACCCATTATAGTCTTGTGAGCTACTCTTAGTCTGACCTGTCACCTAGGACCTTGTTGCCATGGGAGACCCTAACAGGGGCCCCAGACAACATAGCTACTAGGATCATTTGGGCACTCAAACAACCCCACCATGTTAAGGTGGCAGCTCCTGGGGGTGTCAGAAATCTCTATCTTTTGTAAATAACAGTTCAAATAAGTAAATGAATAAATATAATGTTCAAAATCACAAAAGTGGTTTATATGAACACATTATATTTACATACATTTTTACTCTACAATCAGAGTCACTCTAGCTAAATATATATGGGAACAGTTTGCCAGTGGGTGTGTCATAGGGGAGGGTCTTTATCACGGACAACCATAGGGGGATCTACTGGGGTGGCATAGGGTGGCAAATGCTACCCTAAATGACAGCCTTGCCATCCCTGCTGCCACCCCAGTTGGCGGTAGGGGTGGCGAGGCTTATAAATTATGGATAATTTGAGAATTACGGCCGCTAATTTCCAATGATGGACTGCAGCACGAGATGACGCGAGAGCGACTGAGAATGATTTGTTTTGAAAACCGAATAGGGCAAAGCGAGGGAGCCAGGGGTTAATGGGGAGAGGAGACACGGGATGAAACAGGTAAAAATCTTAGTGTTTATTTTAAAGACTTCCATTAAATAAATATGAACTAGTATGACACTTTAAGTAGAATGTCTTTCTATAATAATCTACTCCTTTGTAGTTCCTTCTCAGAATGGTCAATCAAGATTGATTTGGGAATTTGCCACAGCTCTATAGACATATTATGTGTTATGTGTAATCGGTTAAGTAACACTCTGTTCAAACATATAATTCATTGTACTATCCCTATATATATATATATATATATATATATATATATATATCCCTATATATATATATATATATATATATGTATTCATGAAATTTTTTACAAGCAGTTCTATTTTAACTTTCTGAGTTCAATAAACAGGGATTGAAATTATAATAGTTTTACACAGTTGTGGTGCAGATAGTTGTTTAAGGAAGCTGCACATATTGATTGCTCAAAATTTCTCAACAGAACCCATATTTAACAAGCAATTTACTGTACCTTTGAATTTTTCTAAAAGTATTGTTCACATTTCACGAAAAAGGAAAAAAAAGTTGTAGTCAAATCGAGGGTTACTACCTGCTCTAAAATCTGCTGCTGGATGTTAGGGTCGGTCAGGTCGGCCTCAGACTGGAACCGCAGCTTTAACCTCTTGTTGGTAATCGGTTTCTGACAAATAAACTCGTGCTCTTCATTACAGTCAACATCACACCATGTTCCTGTGTCTGTTTTGACCGCAGCACAGGAAGTTGAGACGTCGTCAGGCTGGCCAGCTTCCCAATTTTTAAAGGTAGCCAGACGTCCATCAGACCACTTAGCCCAGAGGTTTCGGTAAAGACCGATCCAGTGATGCTTTTGGATCAGTGCGTGGATTTTGTTGTTCTCAGACAAGTTCCACACTCTGAGAAGATCTGTATGTTTGGACCTACAGTAGTTCTTAGCATCTTCCCAAACCATAGATGTTTCAACTACGATGTATTTAGAAGCAGCTTTTTCTAAAGGACAAAGAGGAAAATAGAGTAAATACAACATTCACTCATTCTATTCTTTAATTTTGTTTTTATTTCTTCTACAACCTGACTTAAAATGGTATTTATTTATTAGCTGTGGGTTAAAAAAATACATATTTGATGTAGTAAAAAAATCATCTTACCATCAATGCAGATAAAAGGGTGCTTTACCTCACAGGAGAAATCCCACCAACCTCCGTGAAGATTTATCACAATGCAGCTCCCATTGCCCTGTGTGTTGTCTGGCTGATGTTGCCAGGGTGGAAAACCATCTTTCGTTTGTATATTAAAGTCGGCATCCCCCATGGTCCACTTCCAACTCGTGGTGTTATCATAAAGCCCAATCCAAGCAAACTTTCCAGTTTCCTGCAGGACGGTGATCAACCTATTGTTTTCCTCTGAGCTGCTTACTGTAGCCAGGTCGCCGTCGTACATCTCTCTGCAGTGCTGCTGAGCTTTGGCCCAAGTCTTTGGGATGTTCACATAGTGGTACTCTGGATACAGGTCTATACACAGAACATAAACCCCTGATGGCCGAAGCATAATAACAAGTTTATCCCAGAATAATATCGATATATATCTACAAAAAAAGGTTTCATTTTCCTCTTAACAGAAACTCACATGAGAAGGTGAAAACAAGAAGCAGAGTCTTCCTCATCCTGTAAATCTATTAAAATGAATAGATTTATAAATAAAATGCAGATATTTAATATGTAAATATATTAAATTAAATCTTATTTATTAAGAGGTTGACACAAACTTCATTTTATTTTTAATTAAACTCAAATGGAAAATGCACCAATAAAAAAAAATCTACACAGAATTTTAATACTGATTTTTTACAAAGATTATTTTTGACAGTAATATTATATTTGACTTCCAACATTTCCTTAGTTAAAATGAGTTTATCAGTGAGTTAAAGTTCAAGTTAAAATTCTTGTCTTTTCTTTTCTTTTAAGTTCTAATTCTCTGATTTGTATATAACTCAGTAACCAGTAATGTTAAAATAAGAACCATATGGTTGGCTCACCTGGTCTCTTCTCTCTTTCCGTTGCCCTCCTTGGATCTTTGATTAAAAAGATCTCAAAGCTTAGAATTTTCTAACCTTTCTTCTCTAACTCCACCTTCTCATTCAGTAGCCATGCAAAGCCAGTAATTTACTGATTTGTCATTTAAAACAGGAAGTAAACACAAACAAATGATCTGTCTAAAACGAAGTTATTAACCTTGCACTGCCATTTGGAAAAATATTAGAATGAAGACATTTGATGGTTTTCACAGTTTTCTTTGTACATGATGGGTTTGTAGTTTAAAGTCCTCTATTTTTAAATCATGGATTTAGCAAAAATGTATAGTTTAATAGTAAATAAACTGAGCATAGAGTAAATTATAGGAGTGAAAATGTGTCCCTCTGGTGCTCTCCATTAAGGGATGCAATTTGAAAAATTAAAAAAGACACTCAAGAGAAAAGCTGTTAAAAGCCTTTATTAGTACATGGCTACTATGATTAAAAACATGGCAACGCGTTTCGTCTGGAAGGGCCTTCGTCAGGGCAATGGGAAAAAGATTGCTTTTGTTTAATCTGATTTCATGTCCTTGCCATGGCTGAAAGATAAGGACTCTGCTGACCTCTTCGAAGAGATGCTTTTATATGGATTGTTAGAAAAACAATAGCACCCATAGAGTGGTTTAAAAACAAATTTGTTTTTCAGATTTCTGTTTATATAGTAAAAAAGCCAGTTTCTGATATATGTTAATTAGTTAAAGAAAAGAAATGGCTTTCTAAAGCAACACTTCTTGAGGGAAAGTATTTCTCCCTAATCATGGTTGCAATGGACACTAGTTAGCATAGTTCCATTTTCCACAAGAAACATAATTGTTCTGTTACTTAAACATTTGTCCTAAAAGCCCTAATCAGTCCCCAGACTATCACACTACCAACACTCTTCCTTATTTTCTGTATATTTTTAAGATGCAAAGATATTCCCACCTTTTACAGTAGATATTATCACTTTTCCTTCTAATCCGCAAAATATTATTTCCAAAGTTCATCTTGCCAAACCCTAATCTGAGCAATCACGCCACACCCCTCTTTGAAATCTCTATCACCAGGCTTAGTATTTATCCAGAAGCCTAAATCTTCATTACTGTTAAAGATTTCATCTTTCATTACCCACGTTCATCTTGTTGCATCATCATGAAGACTGATCTAGGTAACTTTTCACTTTTAGAAACAGCTCTTGGTTTTCTTGTAGATTGTATACGGTGGCTAGGTCTATAAAAAAAACTCTAAAGAATTGCTGAAGTAGCGCTCCCCGTCTACTACCGTATGAAGACCATATGGTGGTACTCTCATAAAACATATGCAGATAAAAGATAAACTTCTGCTGGTGTTATGCTTGGTTTGTCACCATGATCAAAATAATCCTAAAGAGGATTTGCATGATTTTATTCCGATAATCCCTCCTAGTCTCCTTTACTTATACATAGGCGGCAATATTAATAATTTCCTGCTCTCCTTTAAACAGGATGTAAATGCATTCTAATGATCCTTAAAAAAAAAAAAATGAATCATGAGTTTATATTGGGAAAATATCTGCTTTATTGTTAGAACAAGTATATGGTTGTTGTTTTTTTTATTAAACCATTCAACCTGTCCTTAGTGAGTGGGGTTGCCTGGTCATCAGACCAGTCAACCCAGGAAACATAGATGCGCACCTCTATACAAGCACACTTCTATGTAAGGGTTGTTTATAGAGCCCAGTGATTCTGAAGAGGAAAATTACTTGTTACACCTCTTGCATTCGAACTCTACATGATTGGATCTGGTTTCTTAAAATAAAAATGCAGGATCCAACAAAAGAGCCTATTGAAGGACTACTGACATCAGTTATTGAAATGAGAACATGCACCAGAAATCCCCAAACTCCTGCTCTATCCTAGTAAGACGAGCAGTTCCAGAGCATCGTTAATGGTGTGCATGGCCCCATTCAATAGGCTGTAATTGCTACAGGCATTATACAACACAATTCTTTGTCTGATTGTATGCAAAAATATGATCCAGGGTAGTGATCATGATTTTATCGTGTAGGATTAATCTGGAGAGAATCCCAGAATGTACACGGAAAACAAACAAGCTCAAAATTAAAATCCTGAATCTAATAATTTAAGCAGCCAGTAAGCATATTTCTGTTATAATGTGAACATTTTGCAGAATAAGCTCAGTGTTGGCTATGCAACAGCTATGGCTAATCAACAGCACTTATAATGTCTCTACTTTCTTCCCTTCTCCAACACTGAGGCAGCCTCGTCAGTTGGAGAGGTTGAACAGCAGTAGGATTTTAATGGAAATTTAACGTTTTTCTCTGACTTCTGGGTACAAAGCAATCCAAACCATCAGTTCTTCGAAAAGAACTAAACCTGGTGTTGGAGTTCCTTACTTCTCAGTTCAAATAAGGAATGTGCTTTTCCAAAGATCTTCAGCAAAAATCTGATGGTTTTTTTGTTTGTTTTTTTTTTTTTTGCTTTGGCCACTGATCCTGATGATCGCTTCAGCAATTCTGCTGTAATTATGCAAAAATCAACTCTCCTGCCTCCTTTGCTGTGTGAAAATATCTCCCGATTCCCATTTCCATGCTTCAATAAGGTGGTGAAATGAGGCGTGTGACCTTCCGCTCCAGGGTTGTTTAGATCATAATGTAAGCAAACTAAGGGAGACGGACAGGTGCAGAACCCTCTAATGCACTCGGTTAAATGATTTTTATCACTTATGTGTAGAGGAGCAACTATTGTATTAAATGTATTGTCTTTGAGGAGCGCTGGAAAGAAACGTATATCACCTGTTTGACTTCAGCCATTTCTTCAAAAGGCTTTAAAAGAAAAGTACTCCTAAAAATCCTTGTCCCAGGTAACACTTATCTTTAGTAATTAACCTGCATGTCATGCCCCATTACAGTACCTATTATTAATTGTATGATCAACACAGGAGTTTAATATTCCTACCTTAGCCAGGAGACATGGAGTGTTACACTGTTCGACTTTTCTCAACCTCAAAAGTGAAAAGTGGGATTAAATAGATGAACACAGACGACGTCCACAATCATTTAAATTATAAGGAATCTTAAGCATTGAAGACTTTGCTATCTAACCAGTTAACCATGATGTTGCTCAGAGTGACCACTGATACCCAGAAAAATAAATCACGATCCCAAAAACTCCAGAATTAACGGATTGCGCCGTCAATAACCATTTGGGATCCTAATAAATACACTGAATTACATTTTTATGAGGATTTAGGAAATTAATTAAAAATGGTCACACAATATGATCAATAACATTTTATTTATTAGACAACTCTACAATTAATTTTACCAAACACCACTCAAACATTTTGTTTCACACAACAAACAATAATTCAAAAGGCACCAGCGTGTCCTTAGACCAAAAACAGGAACATTTATTATTGCATTTATTAGCAATTTTTTAATATCAGGTGTATAATTTTTATTATGGAGTTTATAGCATGTTAAGTAATTTACAGAGCATGTGTAAAGCTGAAAAAAAAATTCAAGAGAGAAATTAACCCTAGTTATGGTAACATGCAGGCTAAGACATAGAGTGCTACACGTACCGGTACTTAAAAATATCAAGACTTCAAACTATTCAAGACTCCAGCCTGCTAATGTTTCCAACCTTCAAAACAGAGTGGAGCAGAAGAAAAAGTTTTAGTTTTATAAATGTAGATTTACACACAGAGATTTTGAGAGCCAAAACTTTATTCAACTATTGTCACCGATTCCAGGTAGGCAAAAAAAAGTTCTACTGGATTCACTTTTTATTAGTCTGTTTCCTGCTTCACAAAGGTAGGCAGCAGCTTGACAAAGACATGATGGCAATAATTTTATATCCAAGTAGTCTGCAGTTGTATATATATATACAAACAGATGGTATTGGCTGATATTGCACTGCCGTGTATGGGGTATCGGTATCAGGGCCAAAAAATGGCATCGGTGCAACACTAGTTTCTACACAAAGCTTTTGAATATTTCATCTAAGAAGTGAATATAATTTTGACTTGATCATTTCACTTTTTAAAAGAGTGAGCTTTTCTCAGTTGTTTTGGGATTTTTTCTTGTGAAAAACTTGTCCACCTTTCTCAACCCAGCGGAGTTTGAAGTCTGTAATTCCATCCATCTCCAGTTTAGAGTGCAGCTAAAGGAAAGAATGGAGAAAAAAAAGGTTATTAATTTGGGGTTTTATTTTTATTAAGCACAATTTGGTTTATCAGCTTGACTCTTTAATCAATAACTGTCCTGTCTTTATTTTATGCAAATGTGTGGGTTTTTTTTTTGTCAAGTAAATTGGACGCTTAAAGAGAGTCGTAACTATAACAACAGACCTAAGATGCTAAAGCAGTTTAAATGATTTTTTCTTCAGTAGCTCTACTCAGCAGTCATGGAGGCACTTTGATTTGGAAGGATTAACAAATTCTGTTTGCTGTAGGATGTTTCATATGGGAAGGCCATTGCTACAAAGGGACATCTCAAGTTCTGATGTAAATAATACAGGATTCTGTGTGAATAACCAGATAAAATAAATGTGTCAATGGGTCCAATATTTATACACTATGACCTTGTTGTCTACATCCAGTCCAAAGAGAAGATTTCTATTAAAATCCTTTGTTTTGATGTTTTTGCAGGGGACACAGGTCGTGTCACTACCCGATTTGTACCGGAAGCACAATCTGTACCATCAGCTAATATGTGCATGCACCACCAGAATGGGATCCAGGTACCCATTAAATAATGAAACTGGATAATGAAAGCACTTAATTGTATGGAATAATAATGACCTTGCTTGCTAAATGGATGTATTTAAATCAATTCTGTTTTATTTTCTGTCTGTCATCATATTTAGACATGTTTGTAGCAGTCTGGGATATGGAAACATGATTTCACCTTGTTTATCTGTATTTTAGTGGTATGGTCCTTAGATTATGCACTATAGCGGTACACTGAGATGCAGATATAAAACCAAAATTGGCTGAAATTATTTACAACTTATAGCTGAAAATGGAGCTGCCTGAAATAGGATAGGGACTCTAGGACAGAGAATTATATAACAGAAAGGATGTAAAAACATTTATTTTCTCAGCATAGCTCTTATTAAGATTTCACATAATATAGTTTAGTATGCAGATTTAAGCAGATCAGCAGATTTATTCTGCATACAGAAAGGCTTTTTTCATGGAGGTGGACAACGTGTAAACATTCATGCATGTCAACATATTAGTGCATTCAATTGTGGGTAATTGTGGAAAACTTTGGCAGTGATGTAGGGTCTTATAAATAGAAGAAATTGTTGGAGGTTTGGCAGTGGAGCAGGAGTAAAGTGTCCATGCCTTGGTCCTTAACACAGCCATCAAAGGTTCTGGTTCTGCCCTGTTGGGTTTTGCCTTCCCCCCTCTAACTAAACCCAATTTTAGGTTCATATAAAAGCCAGTAGTGCCAAAAAGGTCTGGTTTAAGAAAAATGAGGAAGATGGAGGGAGTGCATTTGCAGCAACTGAGCTGCTAGCTGATGATGAGGTATGGTTTATCAGCCAGCTTATAGTGGGGAATCAGTTAGGAGCTCTGCACAGAGCTGACCCCAGCCTCACAGAGGGTGCTGTTGCTCAAAACTTTACAACAGAACTTTTCTTTAAAAAACTGCTAAATAACTTTAGGTCAACTGAACTTATGTGCAAAAAGTGTGTCAGGGTAGAGAGGAACAGTGCATTTGTAGTGAAATTAAGGCTTGTACTGTACCTGCTCTAAAATCTGCTGCTGGATATGAGGGTCAGTCAAGTCAGCCTCAGACTGGAAGCTCAGCTTTATCCTCCTTCTTGGTGGGATCAGAGTCTGACAAATAAACTCGTGCTCTTCACTACAGTCAACATCCCACCATTTTCCTGTGTCCGTTTTGACTGCAGCACAGGAAGTCATGTCGGTGCTGCCGCTGTTGTCAGGCTGGCCTACCTCCCAGTTTGTGAAGGTAACTGGGCTTTGGTCAGACCAGTTAGCCCAGAGATCTCTGTAAAGGCCCATCCAATGGTTAAATCCAAACATGCGATGAATTTCGTTGTTCTGAGACATGTTCCACACTCTGACAAGATCAGTGTGTTCAGATCGACAGTAATTCTTAGCATCTTCCCAAGTTTTTAGAATGTTTACTGGAATGTATTTAGAAGCAGCTTTTTCTGATGGTAAAAAAAAGAGGGAAGTAGTGAGAATCAAATTTTCACACATTTTCCTGTTTTTCATATTTTGATATTTAATGGTTTTATTCCCAGAAATGTTGAGAATAAAGTATTTGGTTTGGTAAGATTCATCTTACCATCAAAGCAGATAAATCTGCGCTTTGAGTCACAGTCCTCATCTCGCCAACCCCCAATATAGTTCATGACGATGCAGCTCTGCTTGCCTTTTGCATTGTCAGGCTGGTTTTTTTCCCAGGGTGGGAAACCGTTTTCACCGACAAAGTCAAAGTCATCCTCTCCCATCGTCCACTTCCAACCGGTGATGTTATCATAAAGGCCGATCCAAGCAAACTTTCCAGGTTCCTGCAGGGCAGTGAATAACCTGCTGCTTTCTTCAATGCTGTCTACAGTGGCCAGATCACCATACACCTCTCTACAGTACTGCTGAGCTTTGGCCCACGTCTTTGGGATGTTCACATAGTGGTACTCCCGGAACAGGTTTGTAGACAGAACATAAACCCCTGATAGATAAGAGAAAGTTTTGAACCGATCAGAAAACCAAAACAATAAAAACTTTAAGTTCACACATCTACGGTGCCAAAAGCACTAAATTAAATTATCTGATGATCATTAAATCCAATCCAATCCACTTTATTTATTAGCACATTTAAAAAACAAAACATTTTCAAAGTGCTGCAGATGCAACAAGATATGTATAAAACAATAAATATAAATAAAACTGTTTAAAACACTAAATACTATTTTTTTTAAAATGCAAAGAGTCCTGCGATGGAATAGTGACCTGTTCAGGGTGAAACCCCGCCTCTCGCCCGGACACAGCTGGAGATAGACACCAGCACCCCCCAACCCCAGCAGGGATAAACGTGACAGAAAATGCATGGATGGATAGATAAATGCAAAGCCACAGGGGACCACAAAACTCAATGCTAAAAGCCAGAGAATAAAAGTGAGCCTTAAGACGGGATTTAAAACCGACATGAAAAAGTGGACAAAAGTGAAATAAAATACACTGATACCAGGTTGTGGTAAAAAGAACTGGACCTAAAGTGCAGAGAAGTAGGGAGTGAATTTAAAAGATTCAATTTAAGTAGGCCTCACAGCTGGTTTAATGAAAACTCAAAGTTTTTTAAGCTAAAATCAAGGAAACCCAAAGAGAAGCATGAGTCAGAGACCAGAGATAGTTAAAACGTTTATTTAGGAACAAACAGGAGCTTGAATTAGAGCCACTTTTGAGACGTTGCTCAGAGGAAGAGATGTCAAGATTATGAATATTTTGAAAGAGGAGACCTTAAAACTAAACCTATATCCAAAAAACTTTCCTGTATGTTCATGATCAGTATATCAAAAAAGAAAGAAGAAAAACAGCATAAAAAATCTGCTCTAAGATCATGAAATCGATATTAAACTGGTTTAGGACTGGAACCAACTGGCCAGCAGAGGCTTTCAGGGAGAAAGACTACGCCTATTACTCCAAGTGAAAGAATAAAAAAAATAAAAAAAATGAAACTTTCTGCATGGAGTTGCATGTTCTCCCTGAGCATGCGTAGGTTCTCTCCTGGTACTCCGGCTTCCTCCCACAGTCCAAAAACATGACTGTTAGGTTAATTGGCTAAATTCTCCTTAGGTGTGAGTGTGTGCGTGAATGGTTGTTTGTCCTGTTTGTCTCTGTGTTGCCCTGCGATGGACTGGTGACCTGTCCAGAGTGTACCCCACCTCTCGCCCATTGACTGCTGGAGATAGACACCAGCACCCCTCACTTGGGATAAGCATGCTAGAAAATGGATGGATGGATGAAAAATTTAAACTGGTTGTTGACCCCTGTAACAATTGTATCTAATGCATGTGATGTTGAATGTTTAATTTCACTGTGTATGGTGCATTTTGAAATGAACTAGAATTGTTTTTCTAATAAGACATTAATAGGGTTTGAGATTTTACAGGATTTGGAAGCAGCTGTTAGGATAAACAGAAGGGTACAAATATTTTTAAGTTTTATTAAATGGCCAATATGATTAATCACAACAACTCTGCCTTTAAGAGGCCTTTTGGATTTTTCAGTAATAAATCAAATAAGATAATACATTAACCACAGTACCTCACCAGTCTATTTTAGACACTTTATCTGGTATACTGATTCTAGGCACAGTACAGAAAGCAAAATGGCAGCCCCCACTACAGATTTCCCTTAACTTTGTGAAATGCGACGAAATGAACACCCTGCTTTCTATTTGAACAGACCCCATTCTAGCTCTGCTCCCAGCCACACGTGGCACACCCTGGAGACTGAGACCATCCCGCCCTCTGCGTCTGCACCGCTTACTGAAAGCTGTGACATCACTTGTGCTTGAAACTACATGAAGGGAGAAAACGGAACATATATAGTGATTCTGCTTATGTTGCTAAAATAACGCAAGCAGATGTAAACCAATGGCAAATAACAGATTTTTGTGACCACAGCAGGTAATCCTATCAAGCATGTTGCTCAGATGCACCACCTAGAAGAGGTTCTGACAAGACCGGAGCAGCTTGCTGTTGTGATGTGTAAGGTAATTCTTTTTTGCGTTGACACTTTCACTGGGTGGGTTGAAAAATACCCCCACCTAATCTTTTAATAATGGGGAGTATTGGAGTGAAGCTGTGGACCTTTAAGGATGGGTGCTTTTACTTTTTGGGAACATAAAATCCCAGAAGGGGACATTATGTGTTTTTCATTTAAAAGTAGTTTACTCTTCTCATTATGATTACATTAGAGTCTGATTAAACACTGCATGAATCACACTTCCAACTGCAACTGGACAAAGCGATACCATTTCTTACTCATATGGCCAAGATACTGTGAGGAGCTCAGCTGATAAGCTGGGTTCACTTTCATAAGCAAGGCTTGAGAGATTAAAAACAAATTAAGGTGTGAGCTGACCCTGGGTTTAACCCTCTAGTTTCTATCCTTTATTTTTTATCTGTGTATAAAATGCCGTTTGGAAACTGCCTGAGCACAAACTGATTAATTTGAATCTCTAATCAGTACTAACATCTATCTTTCATTGTGCATCTGATGCTCACTTTCTCTGCATGACTTAATAAATTCTACTAATTGTCATGAATGCCATGATTTACTATTGACTAATTGATGAACTGTTCAATTGCCTTTCTTGGTGACAAACCTGAGAGGTCATTAACTTTTGCCCTGCTTGTAGATAGTGACAATGAAGTTGTCGAAGGCCCAGTTCAGGTGAGCAAAAAGAAACCCGAAAGACTGTGGTGCAGAAATGTGTCTCCTTCAGAAAATTTACCATGAATTAAAATATATCAGTATGCAGCTTTAAAGACTGACCTGAGAAGGTGAGGACAAGCAGGAGTGTGTTCTTCATCCTGAAAAAGAAACATTCTCTTGAGCAAACTACTTTCAGAAGATAGCAATGAGCTTTTAAAATAGATGTTATTGAGAGTGCAAATGATTTTCTACTTCTTATGTTTAAACAATAGAAATAAAATGCACAGATTAATCAATAAACATAAGTAACAGCTTAGATGTAATTATACCTTTCCCAGTGAAAAAGCTCCAGTTCTCGCTTCTCTTGCGTTGATGATGGTTGTGATTAGAAGGACCTCAAACCATTAAGGAGACATTTGTTAGCTTCCTTTCATTCCTCTCCTCCTTTTTCTAGGTTGCCATGCAAAGTTTTTCTCCCTTATTGGATGCCATAGCTCAGCAGATGCAAATCTAGCTGGTAAATGGAGCGTTTACCTTTGAACAACAATATAATCAAAGCATATCAGGTTGTGCTATTAATTTACAAAAATGTACAGAGGTCGCATTCATTTTCACTCAATATCTCAGTAACAGTTCTAGCTATCATGTTCTCTTAGCAGGATAATAAAAAAAATTTTGTGAGTATTTCAAACTTAAAACTCAAAATAAAGTATATATATTTTATAAACTTCAATATAATAACTCAAATTAAGAAACTATGTTTCATTTAGAATTTGCAAACTTGGCAGAATAAGCTAATAGTTGGCTCATCAGCCCTAATGGAATCTCTATTCCAACACTGTTGCAACATGCTCACTTTTATGGAGTTTAAGTAGGATTTTAACATTATTTAACAGGCTTATATTTTGACTTCTGAGTACGAAGCAATCCGCACCATCGGTTCGTCATCACCATAACTGTACATTGCCTTTTGGAAGTTGAAAGAATTTTCCAACCGCCTGGTTATTGTCAGACATACAATGTAATTATTGCAAAAGATTAGAAATAAAAAAGGTTCTTTACAGAACAATGAAATGCTAACTGGGAGAAGTATCAATATATATTTTTCTATTCCTGCTAGAACTTATTTTGTGTTCCAGTTTTTTTTTTTTTTTACTTGAAACTGACTTCTAAGTTGAAATGAGGACCGTAGAGCACGTGGTTTTCCTAAGAGCTCCATTCAACCGATATCTTCATTGTTTTTGCTTTCGCCACGGCTCCTCGTCATAGCTTCGGCAAATCTTCTGTAATTATGCAAAAATCAGCTCTCCTGCCTCATTTGTTATGTGAAAATAACTCAGATTTCCATTTCCATGCATCCATGAAAGCCATGGATGAAATGGACGGAGGAATAAGGGAAATGAGGTGTGTGACGTTCTGCTTCAGGGTTGTTTACCACAATGCAGGGAAGCCACCCACTTTTTATCTATCAACAAGTTTCAAGCATGATCCTTGCTGGGTGGTTGGCCTCTTCTTCCATTCAAAATGTTTGGAGCTCGTCTTAATTGGTTGGTTTAGCCAGAACAGATCTGTTATTTTTTAGGTACACATTGTTATTTAACTAGGATGAGGTCTGGTCCGTTCTTCAAGTGTAAATTTAGCCCCAAATTGAAACCAGATATGATGTGCATTCAGGGACAATGACGTACAGTATTGGAATACCCTGCAAATTTTAGCCATTTAAAAGACCCTCAGCAAGATGGTGTTACTACCAACCTTAATGGTGTCTGTTTTTAAATATTGAGTGTTTTTGAGAAACCTCTACATATTTAAACAAATCATCTTCCATATGGTCAGTCTGGTTAGTAGCATATGTAACCTTTATATTCTCATTCAAAATATAATTGTTTCCAGGCTATTCTTGCTAAGGCCTGTTAGGGTTAATAATAATAACTCTGTATTTTCTTAGAAATTAGACTTACACAAAGCAAGTTACTTTGCTGAAGAAAAGGAGAGTGTGTACTACTCCCTTCAGAGGACAGCACAAACAGGCTCTAACCAGAGTAGAAA